CAGTCTATAATAATTTGCACACCAAGTCTCCTAGTGCCGTTTATCAGCCGTGTCACGTTAGCTGATGGTAGTACATAATGATCGTGGGCCATATAAGCGAATACTGCTCATATTACTCATTACAGGACCCATTGCGTCTTATGAGGATTGCTCCTCAATATTTTTATAGACTCTTATCGAGACATCATTATCATTATGACACCACTAGATCACACCAAAGTGGCTAAGTGTTTTCCTTTGGCTTTCTGAAGCTCTCACATTCCTGTCGTAAGCTGGCGGTTTCCAGACCAAATTAGCTTCACCGTGTTCAGGATTAGACGATCTGAGTCAGATAGGAATTTGTTTCTTAGCAACAACCTTGAATGTGAAGCCTAGCCATACCTCACCAATTCTGGAGATGGCATTGCGGAAAAGATAAACAGAACGTTAATCTGCGCAGGCGACTAGCTTCACATGGCCCTGATGCCATCCGCTATCGCGACAGGTGGGATCATCACCGGAAAGTCCTTTAATATGTAGACATAAACGTCCACGACCTTAAGTTCAATGATATTACTTAACAGAAGTGATTGTGCCATCTTGGTAATTTTCATCAATAACCGCCATGATTATGGAAACCTTCAGCAAGTCGCTAAAGAATTTTATTGTAGTTGTGTTCCCACTAAGCTTTGTCTTTATTGGTGTTAACCCCAATAAAACTGCGACTCCATTCTAAATGTTGTCAGTCCTCCTTCAAATAATATTCACTACATCTTTCATTCTCAATTTTGATCAGAAACCAACTGTCGAGTTTCTATCTAGTAACAAATGGATGTCGGGAGGTCACTTATTAAGTAAGGGTATAACCAATTCAACAAACAGCAGTAAAATAAGTAGTGTTGTAGGCTGTGTTTTTTCGGAAGGATTGAACAAATCTTCTTATTATAGGTGTCCTAATCGTACTGGGAAACCTATACTACATATTTTATAATTTTACAGACCTTTTTATGGGAAATTGGAAAACTCCAAGACCTTCCCCCAAAAAGCAGTTTAAGCCTTTCCCTAGGTTCAAAGTGGTTTTAAAGCCTCTGAGTTTTCTTTATACAGTACCATAATGGGCCGAAAGGACTAAGTGGACTGTCTGCATTGCTGTTATAACCTAACTTAACCTTAAAGTAGCAAATAATGTATATGAAAGGCATCAACACTTAGCCACTATATACATATATTTTAATTTTTTATATTATATTATGTATATATATCAGAATCTAGTAGTCGTAGTTGAAGACGTATTTATAATGTACGCTTTTTAAATTACTTAACATAAGCAAAGTTCGGAGTTTAGTTTATTTAAGTTATATAAGTTATATTATTTATTTCAGTGCTGTATTAGTCTCCACGTAAATGCGTCAGCTCTTATCGCATCCTTTCATTTTCTTTTTGTAATTTTTTTAACATAGTATAAAAGCACTGCAGCACATTGCTGTAGAAGTTTCTTAATATTGTTTAATATTTTAATATTTTTCCTGACGATTCGCTTGGCTTTGCACAGCATTCATCACATATGTATAGTCGTACTCGTTTACAAGGAAGACTTGCAATTGTGTTAATGTTCGCCACGTTCAAAGACTTGATTCTTACAACAGCGTTATTTATTTTTCTATGTTATTTATTTTGTATTTCATGCAGTGAAACCATTTTAAATTTAATATACAAGCACAACTTATCTAGTATTAAGCAAAATTTCAGGGAAGCAGAGATGAGATGCCAGATTTGCTTTACGAATATATTTGATTCATTTCAATTCTAAATGCAATACTCGTATAATCAATAACTCAATCGCAGTGTATCATAAAATACTTAATTATTTTATGATATTTTGTCTATTCTCTTAAAAGAATTATTAAAATTGGTGTCACATTTTCTCGTGTCCCTAACTAACTTTAGCTTTGACAATAATATTTGCAGATTCTGCTGTGACGACGAAAAGTCTATGGAGGTATAGGCCACAGAAGAAACAAAATTTTAGGTGTATATCAATTAGGGGATAAAGACCTTCGAAAACTCCCTCCGAAGGAGCTGGTTCGATTCCTCGAAATACTGAATGTCTAAATACAAACGAGTGTACAACAGATCAAGCTGGTCGCAGTGCATAGGGCCCTTAGCCTAACACAAAATCCCCCCCAATACCATTACCATCATCAACTTAAGCTACATTTTTTAAACATTCTTCGTTTGTAAACTCGTGAATTTCTGTCTTTGGCTTGCTGTCTTGCCTGCTTACAAGACATTTTCAAATGTTGAAGTTACTCAAATATTTATGCTTAATACGCTTTTTAATTCATTTATTCAACGTCACATTTGCGATTCTCATTCTACATATATTAATGTATAAAAAATGTTTAAGAAGACTATGACATAAGTTGTCAAACCATAAACGAATCCCAATTATTCATTAGCATGAAATAAAAAAATTTCTTTCTTTGGTGCAATTGTAAAATAAACAGGGGACTCACATAAATGTGCCTAAACGTGAAAAACTTTTTAGAGTCAAAAATATTACTTTATTAAATTATTAATTATTATTATTATTACTATTATTAATCATACATATTATTAGAATTATCACATTATTTTTGCATGTCAGACCTTCTCAAAAGCATTTTACTATATTAGTCAGTTATGATTCGGGACCTTCAAATTACTGAAAGTTCCAATACAGTGTGACGGTATTGGTCAAATGTGTCATGTCAGTATGTTGGTTTCTTTACAATTCCAATTGCACACCTCGTATGGCTAAATTGTTTATTTAAATATTTTTGCCGCACACTACTTAATGTTATATTTAAGTTTGCACGACAATTAACACTTTTAAACAATATGAATTGTTGTAAAAACTTTCGAAATATCTTTATTGTTATCAAAACTTAAACTTTAATTATATATTAACTTTAATTATTACTTCTGTTGGACCAATTGCTACAAACAAACCACTATATGTTGTAGAAAGTAACAATATTTATTATATCAAATTTTGCAATAGTTCAATATTTATTAAATAACTTGTTCAAAAGCGGTGACAACTTTATGTACTTTGATATATCCTCTTTTACAATATAATCTTTTTAATTTCAAAAATTTATCCAAATCGTACAGTTTGTAAGCAAATTTGTTTAGCTGCCATGGTTGGTGTTAAAAAAAAATAAAAAAATTATTGAATAGCTTGATGTTTAGCACAGTGCCCGTGTCCGCAACAACATATTTCCATTGTTATTTCCCATATTGTTTATTGACTGAATAAATAATTTTTATAATTTTATCGCCAAACAAAAAACCCCGAATTAGTTTTCCCCTTAATTTAAGCGGAAACCTTATGTAGGCTGCAGTGCCGTTAGGTGTGGGTGTGTGTAAAATAAGCAAATAACTGTTTTAAGCGTCCTAATTAACACAGTTCTGCGGCTGTTTTCTTTCTCAAGCCCGGCACTAACATCCATTTCGCACGGAAAATTCACATAAAATTTCATATAAAAACATGTTCCACAAACCACCATAGACATTGTGGATAAATTTCTTTTTGTGTTGTTTTATGTCATTTTTCGTGTGAAATTGTAGTTATACTAAGCTCCGCATATCTACAGAATGTTATCTCCTATTTTTATAACCTAAGTTTCGAGCGAAATCATTTAGAAAACTAAATTGGGTTCAAAACACTGAAGGCAAATTTTGTAACGTAAGCCCAGAATTTCCTTCCACAAAATATCAGAAAAGAAATAGGTTTGGGTATTGACTACCAGTCACTACCAAACTGTAGAAAATCGAATTTGTTGTTTGGTATTAATTTTGAGGCTTTTGATTATTTAGTGAAATAAAACTGTACACTTACAGTTTTGATGATATGTCTACTCCCCTTTAAACTTCTTACTTGAAGAGGAAATTTTAATTTTCGTTTTCGATTCTATATAAAATTTGTTATAACGTAAATTTAGCATGAAGAAGAGGAAATTTAATTAAAATAACAATTTAAATATGTTCACGTAATATGTTAATATAAAATACAGACGAAATAATTAATATATAAATAATAAAAACATAAAAAACATAAGAAAATAATGAAGCTTTCATACAAGAAAATTAAATGAAATATCCTCAAAATCATATAATAGAGGAATTAAATTGAATAAAGAAAATGGTACATGATATATGAATAACCCTAATACAAAATTGAACTCCTATTAATTAAGAAATCAATCCCTCAGAGATAATCAGGGAAATAAAATTTGAGTTGATGGAAAGAAAATAATGCCAGCATTGGAGAAAATATTAAAATTTAATATAAAGATTAGAGTTTTTTATAAAACGCCTTTTATAAAAACTTTTACGGTCAAAACTGGTCTCAGCGTTCTTTCGGGTTATCTCACATAAACATAAACTTAACTACAAAAATTACTATTTTACATAATTTTCAAGTTTTTTAGGCTAGTTGGTAATTAATTATTTCATTATTAATTCGGTTAATTGAATTTTTTTGTTAAACAAAATGTATAAGGACCCTTCAATGTATTTTTAACAATTTTTCCTATTGATGTCTTTTTTTTATAATTTCTAGACCTCTTATCTCTTGTTATATGCACCCGTGTGTTTACAAATTTATATAATAAATCACAAATTGACTAACTAATCCAAAAAAAGAAAAATTGAAATGTTTATAAGTGATTTACCTGCTTTTAGCACAATCCGTTTCTAAATACCTTCCTTCTCGTGGAACATGGTTTTATTAAAGTTAACGTGGCTCCAGGAACGGCCGGGTCTACATCTCGAAGCCACTCGTCATCGACTCGAAATCGATGACCAAGTGACGTTCATCATTCCTAACTCGAGTTACAACAATAACAACAACATACAAGTTATCGTTGTATTTATATAAAAATATATTGGAAATTCTGCTTTCCATGTTGTAAACTTAAGTTTAAATATTATATGTGCCTTTTAAGCTATTTTTAAAAATGAAGAACAAGTATTGATATTTTTGTTTTTTTTTTGTTGTATATTAAACATGATCAGTAAAGTGAGCTTGTGCTTAAGGTAGTAGCTACACATATATGACATATTTGTTGTTGCCCAAATAGTGCTTCAAGTTTCTACCTCTTTTGAAATCATTCCTTTTTAGGTTCATCCTTTGGAACTTCGGGGTATTCTAACGTAACTCCTGGCTCACAAGTGAATTTGGGGCAGCAAAATGGGAAAGAAGCAGTTTTGTTGGTTTTGTCAGTGTCCAATTTACATTTTTCATTAGTTAATGGCAAAGGTCCACAATCTTCTACTAATTCCAGAAGCCTGTATAGATTTAATTTCCTTTTTAAAGAGAGGAAAGCATATTTAAATGTATCTTAGCTTACTTGGCTGGATTGTCTTCACTTTGGACACAAGTTGAACGGCCGCAAAACGGTGTTAAGTCCCAAGTTTTACCAGGTTCGACTGTTGCGCAACGCGTCGATGCAAAGCACATGCCAGGAAAATCTGTACGAAAAATGTATATATGACTTCATTGTCTACTGTTTATGTCTGTCACCTCAAATAGTAAAAACAATTCAATCGCAACGTATGAGCCAATACGACAGCTGTAACACCCAACATCATAAAAGGTGAAAAATATGTACGAGTTTTTTTTCAAATAACGAACTTAAGATAAACTTTTGAATGTGGAAGATAAAATACTGTTAGCAATTATAGCCAAGCCAAACGAGACCACCATATAACTCAATAAAGTGAAATTGAAATTGAGTTTGTGTGATATTTGCTATTGCGCAAAACTTATTCAGTTTCATTTGCAAAACTACGAGAGTG